TTCCCCAACATACACTTTGAGAATTATAATTAATCCTTGAAATCCTAAAGGAACTACCTTCAATTCTTATACTAGGATTTAAAAAATATATTTTTAAACAACAGACCTTCAAACTAAAGAAGAAAAGAATTTAGAAATAAGTATTTCTGGGAGGAAATCACATCAGAACCAAAGATAAACAACTAACACAAGAAAGAAAGTTGAGAGTTAAAAGTGGTATAATAATTTACCTAAGTAAAAAAACTGTAAGAATAACAGATAACATTAACACAAAACATAAGCTTTTTGGGGTAAGGGGTTTTGTCTTTTTTTTTTTTAGTAATGTGTCCCTTGTTTCTAAATACTTAGTATAGAGTAGATGTCCAGAATGTTTGTTAAACAAATGAATGATTGGATAAATGCATGAATGTGTATGATGCAGAAAATCATGGCTCTCCTAGTCATATAGGGCTTCCCAGGTAGTGCTAGTGGTAACAAACCCGCCTGCCAATGCAGGAAACATGAGACATGGGTTTGATTCCTGGGTTGGGAAAATCCCCTGGAGAAGGACATGGCAGCCCACTCCAGTATTCTTGCCTGGAGAATCCCTATGGACAGGGGACCCTGGTGGGCTACAGTCCACAAAGTCAGACTCGACTGAAGTGACTTAACAGCACACACACACTCCCTGTCATACAAAACACATCTATGATCTTGTGTGTACTGAAGACTGCCAGTCTGGAATCTGCAAATGGTTCAGATCCCATCACAACATGCTAGATTCTCAATATGAAAGTGAGAAATAAAAATATCTTGGTGTTCAAATGTCCACTGTTTGGCATGGAAAAGCCAGATGTATAAATAGCTCTGGTATAATGAGATAAGTGAAAAAAGTTATATAAGTATTAACAGGATATAGATTACTTGAAAAAACTACCAAAAAAAATGATAACATTTGAGCACTATCTAAAAATATGAGTGGGAGGACGAGACTATTGCACTGAAAGCAAAATTACAAAAATGTCAAACTTCACTTTGTTTTTGGAGAATAGTAAACTGTGGATTTCAAACTTGTAACTGTAACCTATAGAAATAAATATGTATATAGTATGCATAACTGAAACACGGTTTTTGAAATAACACTCCTCTTTATTCATTTTACACATTTGATATTTTCTATTTTTTTAATGCTGGTGAAGGTATATTAAATCCATTTCAAGATCCATTTGCTTGAAAAACATTGGATTTGTGTGTTGGCTATGGCGAATAAACCACTGACATGAAAATACAAAGAACACTTTGCCATCACAGCCCTAATTCCTCTCCCATTACAGTGGTTTGGTGCTGAGTTGCAATGCTTAGACTGTGATCTGCTCCCTTTCTTATTGAAATAACTCAGTATGGTAGCAAAGATGAGCGAAGAAATCACTCACTAGATCAAGCCAGAGTGCAAGAAGGAAAAGCATCACAGACCATTTTCTCTCTAATCTGGGTATGCTATTTAGAGCTTGTGCTATGTTTAGTTGCTCAGTAGTGTCTGACTCTTTGCAACCCCATGGACTGTAGCCAACCAGATTCCTCTGTCCATGCGGATTCTCCAGGCAAGAATACTGGAGTGGGTTGCCATGCCCTCCCCCAGGGGATCTTCCCAGCCCAGGATTTGAACCCAGGTCTCCCACATTGCAGGTGGATTCTTTACTGTCTGAACCACCAGGGAAGCCCATTTAGGGCTTACCATTATTCTATCCAAAAGGGTTAAGAGAATTTGGAAACGAAATCATCTCCTATCTGGGAGCATCCTAAATTTGATCAACATCTGAATTCATCTCAGAATTTACCAGAGTCAGACTGTCATAGAGAATCACATAAAGCAAAACTCTCTTCTCATTCCCCTATGAATAATAATTTAATTGTTTCCACAACAGGTCTTCATTGAAAACTATTAAATACTCTATGTCAGGCTCTGTTCTAGTACTAGGAACTATTGATACAATAGTGGGGGGGAAAAACTCCTAGTCTCCTGTAGTTTATATTTTACAGAAAACAAATTGACAAATTACATACATTCAGCTGGAAATTCACCTAATAATAAAAGATATGAAGGAAATAAACCATACCTTGGGTTAGAAAATAGTGAGTTGTTTTTTTTTTTTTTTTTTTTGAATAGGGTTTCCTTTTTTTTTTCCCAAGACTTTTTGATGTGATCCATTTTCAAAGTCTTTATTAACTATTGAATTTGTAACAATATTGTTTCTAGTGTATGTTTTAGTATTTTGACCCTGAGGCATGTGGGATCTTGGCTCCCCAACCAGGGATCAAACCCACAACTCCTGCCTTGGAAGGTGAAATCATAACCACTAGACCACCAGGGAAGTCCCAGAAAATAGTATTTAAAAGAGCCAGGGAAGGACCTTCTTTGGCAATAACATTTAAGCTGAAACCTGACAGATGAAAAGGAGCTACTAAAGTACTAAGAAAAAAAACAATGTCCCAGTCCCTGCAAGAGCATAAGTGAAGACTTAAGACAAGAAAAAGGTGGAAGACCAGTCTATCTCAAGCCCAAGGAGGAGCTGGGATGAGTAGTTGAGATAAGATGGGAAGTTACTTGAAGTTACTAGATTGTTTCAGTAACTGGAAGTTACTAGGGAATGACACAGTCCAATTTAGATTTTGAACAACTAATTCTTGTAGCTCTGTGGAGAATGGATTAGACAGGGGTAAGACTGGAAGTTGAGAGATTTCTTAGGAGACTGATTTCCACATAAGCAAAGATGGAAAATTAGACTAGGGTGGAGGCAAGTGGAGAAGAAAAGATGGACTCATATGCTTTGGAGATAAAACCAACAAAACTTATATTCAGATGTTTCCTTAAAAAGATTGCAAGTAAGTAAATTGAAAATCGGGTAGTGAATGAATGCATTTAAAAGAGGAAGGAGAAGATTTTGAGGACAGAAAGAATGGGAGAAGTATACACTAAGTAATAGCCTAGAAGTATTAAATTAAAGTGGCCACATTTATAACTTTAATCACATGTCCTGTTCTGGGCCTCTATTTTCTTAAAAAGATATCAAGCTGAGCAGAGAGAAAATGCTCTGAAGATTTTTAGCCTTAAATGGTTGAGCCCAGGCCACTGAAAAAAGATAATTTACTCAATGAAACTAATGAAGCAAAATTTAACTAACATCATTTTAGTGAGAAATAGTTCTCTCAGGCTGCACAAATTCCCTGGGTAGCTTTTAAAACTATATGCACAGGCTCCACTGGAATGCTTCTGATTTAATTAGTTTGAGGTGGGACACAGGTGTTTTTTAAAAGCCCCACAGAGGATTCCGAGGCGCAGCCAGAGTTGAGCCCTGAGTTAGAAGTACAGCTGAGGGGACTGCCCTCGTGGTCCAGTGGTTAAGAATCTTCCTGCTAATGCAGGGGACCTGGGGGCAATTCCTCCTCCTGGAAGATGCAGCGAGGCAAGCAACTAAGCCAGTGCATCTCAACTACTGAAGTCTCCACGCTCAAGAGCCTTTGCTCTGAGACAAGAGAAGCCATCACGAAGAGAAGGCCTGGCACCACAACTAGAGAGTAGCCGCGACTCACCACAACAAGAGAAAGCCCAGGCACAACAACAAAGATCCAGCCCGGGCAAAAATAAATGAAAAAATTGTAATGAAGAAGTACAGCTGAGGATGTCAGGTCAATAAATCTATTTCATTCAATGACGGATTAACAGAGAATGGGCTGAAGGAACCTTCCCCCAGATAAGGAATACAGGCCCATTGTTAAAAAGAAACAGTTTGAGACTACAAGAAAATAAAAGTCAAGGTTCTCCCTGTTATATTTTTTTTTAAGCTAGGAGAAATTTTTCTCGCCTTACTTGTGATGAACACAGACACCCATATAAACATCACATGTATTTTTAAAAGGATTTATTTCTATTATGAACATCTCAGAGGGAAGAGGTTAACAGAAGATAGTTGACTGAAAGGAACATAGAAGAGGAAGAAGGGAGTACCAATCTAGCCCAGACATGGAAACAGGCAGGAAAAAGTGAGTTGAAGCAGAGAAGTGATCACGGGTGATGAAGGGTTCAGTACCTATGGAGGGAAAAAAACCAGCTACCAGAATACACCTAGCAACAGTTGCTTTTCAACTACTCCTTGGACTGGACATTTCCAAGATTTAACCCTTGAATGAGTCACAGAATTACCAGAGCAGAACTAAGAGCCAAATAACTATCCTCCTAAAATAGAGACCAGAAACTTAATCTTCAACTGCCTTTAAGATTCTTTGTTGCTGGAAGGGGCATGGGTAATTGAAGGCAAGAGTACTTATATAACTTGCCCTATCATTCCGTTCATTTGTGGTCTCACTGGAATCCAAACCAGGGTTTTACACTGTTGGGTTTTCACTCTGTTTCATTTACACTTCTGCATTCTGCTGCTTCCGTCGTGTCCGACTCTGTGCGACCCCATAGATGCAGCCCACCAGGCTCCCCCATCCCTGGGATTCTCCAGGCAAGAACACTGGAGTGGGTTGCCATTTCCTTCTCCAATGCATGAAAGTGAAAAGTCAAAGTGAAGCGCTCAGTCGTGTCCAACTCCTAGCGACCCCATGGACTGCAGCCTACCAGGCTCCTCCGTCCATGGGATTCTCCAGGCAAGAGTACTGGAGTGGGGTGCCATTGCCAGCTTTTGCATTCTACCTCCCCTGAAAACGGAGAAGAAAAACACGTAGTGCAATTTCCAAATCTCCACGTTTGGAGAGCTTTAAGAGTTGCAACTGTGCAGATGAGGCAGCAGCTGGGCACGGTGGCGCCCAGAAAATTCTGTGTAATAAAAAGTCTGGGAGTTGGACAAGACAAAACATGGATTTTCAGTTTTAAGTGGGCGTGTCCACGTCACGAAGGGCGTGAAAGCCAAAGAGACTGGAGAATCTAAGGGAAGGAGAAGGAACATAGAGAACCATGGAATGTGGGTGCAGGGGATGGAAAAGGGATTCCAGGACACCAAAGGAGAAGGAAAAAGAACAGAGTACAGATCGGAGGTATCCGGCTGACACTCGCCCGGCGACCAGCCAAAACCGGGAGGCACGAGCGCGCACTACAACTACCATAAGGCCCCGCTTCCTGGAGCCCGAGTCGCGGCGCGCAGCGCACGCCGGGAGTCGGCCTAAGCCGCCAAGATGTCGCAGCCCAAGAGAAGAAAGCTTGAGTCGGGGGGCGGCGGCGAAGGAGGGGAGGGAACTGAAGAGGAAGATGGCGGAGAGCTGGAGGTGGCTGTGCCGCGACCCCGGAGGACTAGGCGGGAGCGGGACCAGCTGTACTACCAGTGCTACTCGGACGTGTCGGTCCACGAGGAGATGATTGCCGACCGCGTCCGCACCGATGCCTACCGCCTGGGCATCCTGCGGAACTGGGCAGCGCTGAGAGGCAAGACCGTGCTGGACGTGGGCGCGGGCACCGGCATCCTCAGCATCTTCTGTGCCCAGGCCGGAGCCCGGCGCGTGTACGCGGTGGAGGCCAGCGACATCTGGCAACAGGCCCGGGAAGTGGTGCGGCTCAACGGGCTGGAGGACCGGGTGCACGTCCTGCCGGGACCAGTGGAGACGGTGGAGCTGCCGGAGCAGGTGGACGCCATCGTGAGCGAGTGGATGGGCTGCGGGCTTCTGCACGAGTCCATGCTGAGCTCCGTGCTCCACGCGCGGACCAAGTGGCTGAAGGAAGGCGGTCTCCTCTTGCCGGCTTCCGCCGAGCTCTTCGTGGCGCCCATCAGCGACCAGATGCTGGAGTTGCGCTTAAGCTTCTGGAGCCAGATGAAGCAACTCTACGGCGTGGACATGAGCTGCCTGGAGAGCTTCGCCACGCGCTGCCTCATGGGCCACTCAGAGATCGTGGTGCAAGGCCTGTCCGGCGAGGATGTGCTGGCCCGGCCGCAGTGCTTTGCTCGGCTGGAGCTGGCCCGCACCGGCCTGGAGCAGGAGCTGGAGGCCGGGGTGGGCGGGCGCTTCCGCTTCAGCTGCTACGGCTCGGCTCCTATGCACGGCTTTGCCATCTGGTTCCAGGTAACCTTCCCCGGAGGGGACTCGGAGAAACCCGTGGTGCTCTCCACCTCGCCTTTCCACCCCGTCACGCACTGGAAACAGGCGCTCCTCTACCTGAACGAGCCGGTGCAAGTGGAGCAAGACACCGATGTTTCCGGAGAGATCACGCTGCTGCCCTCCCAGGACCACCACCGTCACCTGCGCGTGCTGCTGCGCTACAAAGTGGGCGACCAGGAGGAAAAGACCAAAGACTTTGCCATGGAGGACTGAGCGTGGTCGTCTGTCCCAGCTACCTCCCAAGGCGGCGGGCTGGAGGAGTAAGGGAGATTCCACGTGCAAGTAGGGGGCTTTATCTTCCGTCTCCCCTTTCCCCCAGGGCTCCTGCGGAGGGAGAGTGACTTCAGTCTCCCTTCGAGGAGATTCTTCTGGCGATATTTATTAAAAAATGATTTCGATTCCCCTGCCACAACCGAAACAGCGTGTTTATTAAGGGCCCTTTAAACCTCAAAAGCACGTGGTACCAGGCACTCCTTTTTCTATTTGTTTCGTGCAAATGAAAGTGGGAAGAAAATAGCAGTTTGTGAAGGCTCCATTCACATCCCTGATACCTCACACACTACGTCTAAAGCCAGGGAAAGGGTAAAAGGGCTTATAGTTGAACTCCATGTATTTCCGATAAGATGGGACATCACTCCAGAACCATATTCTCTCATCTTCTGAATTTCCTCTCTTCCCAGGTGCCTCTAGACTACAGTATTTTGTCCTCATTTTCTTTTAGTAAGTTTTACTGCTGGTAACGGGGGAGGTGAATAAAGATAAAGTTTAAATAACACCTGCTACTTCCTTAGGATGCTAACGATGATGACACCTTACTCCATTAAGTGAAATAAACTTCATATGTACTACTACAGCATACCTAAAAAATCTAGAAGGTACATTTGAGAGAAAAAGACCTGAAACATAGTAAAGTAGTATGGACTTTTTGTCTTTACTGTTAAGATTTAACCAAGAAAATTTCATGTAAGTTCCATAGTAAAAATTTTGTGTGCTTCTTTAAAACAGACTGATAGAGGCGATTTCTTCTGAACTTGGTCCAAGGGCTTATTTATCACTTTGGGTGCATTATTTAAGTAAGGAAAATATTTTCCCAGCTTGAGAATTAAAATCCCTCATTCAGAAGGATCATGTGATTTGGCCTACTAACATCAAGTGAAAATTTTTTTGTTAGCGTTTTGTTTGTTTATTTGTTTTCTTTTTATATAAGTCAGCTAAATGTGAAAGTTGTGAATTTAGGAAAATCATTTGTAATGTGAGTTATGTTATCAAATTTATTTTACCCATGTTTCCCTCCTTATCTCTGGCAAATAAAGCACTGGCATTCTCTATTTTTATAGATGAAGTAAGAAGTCTTGTGTAATGTTTGATTTATAACTTTTGCCTTTTTAATATTGTTCTTAAAAATGGTGTTATAACCCCTACAGAGCATAGCTTAGGGATAATCAACTATGCTTAATGTATGGTTTCTTTACACTAGTAGCTTTTGTATGCTAATAGAAAACAGGTGTGAAAATCTGGTCTTCTGAAGCACTCTAGCATAGTTCTGTTTATTGTAACGGTTTTTTCTTCTTTATTCATCACTTATTAAAATAGTTAAGTATAACTAATTTGCTAAAATTTGATATCAACTCATTAGATCTGCCATTAGTAAGGGAACTATATACATGTACAAAATCATCAACTTTACAAGATCCTTGACTTGCGATACATTGTTATCACAATGTGACAAATGTGACAACTTGTTACAGTTGTCACCATTGTTGGTATTAGGATAGTTAGCTTATGTAAATGGTATAGTCATAGCAATTTAGGCCTGGTTTAAACTAGAGTTACAAATTGGTTCCTTATGTTAGGGTTGACTGTATTTTACATTGAACATTAATTAGCATTTTGGTGTACAGTTTTGAGTGAATTTCTAATGTTTATGTTAACTTCCTACCACAATCTCTTTGTTGTATGAGTACTTGAAAGCATTCTTCCAAATTCCATTTTTTAATATATGTCTTATACAAGTATTTATAGAGTTCTCATTACCAGTATAAGCACAGGAAGGGACACTAGTTAAAACTTTGGCTAACTATAGAAGTAAAGGTAAGTATTTTATAATTAGAATTTAAAATTCTTTTGTAACTGTTTCCCCCAAGTAAGATGGGTTATCATAAAAATAGAGCTATACAGTTAAAGCAGTTAGTTAAGAGGCAAGAGTGGAGTGGTGAAAATTTATGGACCGGAGCCAGACATCTCATGCTGCAGTCTAGGCTTCACCCCTCTTAACTGTGTGACTGTGGGCAAAATACTTAACATCTGTTTTTTCTCCACTGCTGTCATGCAAATGGGGCAACAGCCACACTTGTCCCATAGAAATGTGAAGATACAGTGAGTTAATACACGTAAGCACGTAGTACCTGGTACATAATAAGATCCTTGCTGTTGTAACTATAGAAAAGTAATATGCAAACCTGGAGCACTCAGACACACAGAAAATGTACCACAGAATAAATGAGTCAACGTTTTGATTTTTTTACAGGTGTTTGAAAGTATGAGCATGGCTGTATATGATAAGCAGTGTGACTCTGGACACCACATGATCCAAAAGAAGCCCAAACCCTGGAAGTGATGATACTTCAAGAAGGATGAAGGATGAGATCGTGAGATGCACCATCATTCAGGCACTGTCCAGACTCTGTACGAGCTGGTACAGAATCCTTAGGGTCATTTGGGCAACAGGAAGGAACTACCAACCCTAAGGAGAGAAAAACAAGATTAAGTTTTACCTGCTTCCCTCAAATAGCTTACATTTATTTAGCACTGTGAAACTTTCCAGCTATTTCCATTAACTCACTGGACCAATGGACATGTATTGAGTATTCAGTATATTAGTCATTGTGATAAGCACTTAGGATAGAAGCCAGTAAAACATCGTTTCTATCTCTAGTAGGTATAATATGTTCACAGAATAAACCAGTAAGTAAAAAATAATGGGCCAAAGACTAGGATGGTATAGGTGTTACGGTGGGCAGGTAATTATCTTCACCTTACATACTAGGAAAAAAGTTAACACATTTTGAAGAATTTAGCCTAAGACTATACAGCTAATTCTTGACAACTGAACACAAGTTTTTCAATTCCTAACCCCCAAACAATCCCAAGTTTAAGGAAGTCCCACTGGAGCTCTTATCTCATGGGCCTCGAAGAGCCACCTTCACTATATAGGATCTTCAGCTTGATAGGTCCTAGACACTCAACAAAGGATTCCCTGATGCCATTTCCCTATGTGTGTCCATGTGTTCTCAGTCCTGTCTGACTCTCTGCAACCTCATGGACTGTAGCCTGCCAGGCTCCTCTGCCCATGAGATTCTCCAAGCAAGAATACTGGAGTGGGTTGCTGTTTCCTCCTCCAGAGGATCTTCCCCACCCAGAGATCGAATCCACGTCTCCTGCAATAGCAGGTGGATTCTTTACCTCTGAGCCACTTGGGAAGCTGCTTCCCATTCCGTAACAGAGCTAATCAAATGTGGTCCCCCCAGGAAGTTGAATCCTCAACACAGTAGCAGAGATAGACAACATTCTACTTGGTACTTGGTGCTGAAGAGCAGAGAGACCTCTGACCAGGTCATTCATTTAATAAACACCAACTATCTAACATTGAAGTTCTGTGACAAGCAGATCTTGGGTGCAGCAGGAAATAGAAATTGCCTTCATCAATAATCTCCAGTTATTCTGTAGCTTGGAAACATTTCATTCCAACTAAATCTTGCCCCTGCTGAAGGATGAGGCCAGCTCTCTTACCAATTTCATCCTTAAAATTTTTCCCAAGTGCAAAGATACTTCTTATCATCACATAGATTATTTGCTATACAGTGTTAATTCCAAAAATAAATCTGTGTCCTCTATATAACTGATTTGTTTCAGTTAATTGGCACAATATCTTGGGTGTATATACTTACACTGGCTACTGGAAAGCCGAGCCAAATGTATAGCTCACTTGTGATTTTTTTTTTTTAACTTTGTATCTAGCTTCATTTCCATAACCTAGTTTTTTTCCTTGATTCATTCCTCTCATAATAAATATTAATGTTTTGTTGGAATTTATGTATCTTTTTTCCTCCTTTAATACATTTTGGCATGAAAATATTTTCCTACATTTTGGAATACCTGCAGAAATTCTGAGGGTGGGAGATTGGAGAAAAGTCTAGAGGACTCTGAGATATGTCCCCTTTATTTTCTATGAATTGTGTCCAAAATTGTTCACATGGATGTATAGCTAACTGGATCTCATCTTTGTAGCCAATCTACAGCATTTTACATTTTGTAGAATCAAGATTTCTGAATGTGTGACAAACTCAGACATGTAGACAATCTTAAGGACACCTTGAATATTCTGCAGCTCTTTGTAAACTTAGAACAGGCCCTCAGTTCAGTCACTCAGTCATGTCTGACTCTTTGCAGTGTCATGGATTGCAGCACACTAGGCTTCCCTGTCCATCACTAACTCCCCAAGCTTGTTCAAACTCCTGTCCATTGAGTTGGTGATATCATCCAACCATCTCATCCTCTGTCATCCCCTTCTCATGCCCTCAATCTTTCCCAGCATCGGGGTGTTTTCCAATGAGTCAGTTCACATCAGGTGGCCAGAGTATTGGAATTTCAGCTTCAACATCAGTCCTTCCAAAGAATATTCAGGTCTGATTTCCTTTAGGATCGACTGGTTTGATCTCCCTGCAGTCCAAGGGACTCTATCAAGAGTCTTCTCCAATACCACAGTTCAAAAGCATCAATTCTTTGGCGCTCAGCTTTCTTTATAGTCCAACTCTCACTTCCATACATGACTTCTGGAAAAACCATAGCTTTGACAAGATGGACCTTTGTCAGCAAAGTAATGTTTCTGCTTTATAACATGCTGTCTAGGTTTGTCATGGCTTTTCTTCCAAGGGGCATTGTAGATTGTTGTTGTGTTAGTCACTCAGTCATTTCTGATTCCTTGCAACGCCGTGGACTGTAGCCCATCAGGCTTCTCTGTCTGTAAAATTCTCCAGGAAAGAATACAGAAGTAGCCATTGCTTATTCCAGGGGATCTTCCCAACCCAGGAACTGAACCCAGGTCTCCTGCACTGCAGACAGATTTATTACCATCTGAGCCACCAGGGAAGCCCTATAGATTGCCAAACTCCTTCCAAAAGTGATTCAAAATAGTTTAAAGTGATGATAAGGAAGAAGGTGACATAATGAGACTATTTCTCAAATATCATGCATGCTTGTAGGAGAAGATTCAAAACAAAGAATCTGAACCTAACTAAACAGAATTTAAACAAAAATTAAGACATCACCAGTGACATTGGAACTGTGCTCCTTGGAGAGCTTTGATAATTAAATTCATCATATTGATAATAATAACTTTGGGGAAAGACGTGAGATTTCAGTTGGATAGCTTTTTAACTCTAAAAACAATCACTTAAAACAGAGATTTAAAATGCGTAGAGCTGGGGTGGGGGAGGAGGGCAGAATTACTCCTCTTTCTATAGGCTATCCCCTGCAAGGAAAGAACAGAAAGGAGAGTGGGATGGAAAGAAATTCTCCCCCCAAGTTTTAAAATGCTTTATAGGCATTCCTGCAATCACCTGAGATATGTATTTTTTTTAAAACAAAAACTTCACGTTCTGAAATATTATGCACTAAAAATAACAAACTGAAGGAAAAATTAGGTTGGGTAGACCATCATAATATATGTAATTTTGTAACCAAGAGCGCTAACACTAATTCTATTAAAAATATTAGCAGTTTAGAAAGATGTTAACCGTAATGAATGAACATTGCAGTAAATAAGATAGCTTGATGAAAGAGCATGAGGAATTTACAGAGACAAAGTGAAATGCACAGAGATAGGGAGAAGGCTTAGTAAACATTTCTAGAACATAGAGCATGTGACTGAACAGAGCCAAAAGCAATAATATTCGGTGGGGTACATTCCTCTCTGACTGGCTGCATGTAGTTGCATCTGTGTACTTTGTGTTAGGTGGTTGCTACCTGGTGGTAGTAAATATTAATGATGGGAGTGATCACAAATGAATCAATCAATTTCCACTTTATATTTTGACACTGATCTAGCTACCAACTTCATTCAAGTTCATTATGTTATAGAAACATGTACTGTAGCATAACATTTGATCCTTTGTTCAGTTTCCAGAAATTATAAAGTACTTCAAAATTCCATTGGATTTACAGATATTTTCAATGCAGTTTTTCTTAGAGGAAAATGGAACAAAGTGGGGGCCTTACAAGTGGATATAACCACCCTTTAGCATGAATCTATTTATTTTATTATTTTGGTCACCAGGAAAGATCAACTAGAAGGGGAAATAGAAAATTCTGGCCTGTTTAGAGTGGAGGGAAAAATACCTGAGTATTCAGGAGGTGATTAGATAGTGGGATTTGAGAACAATAGGTGTTTTTCCAGAGCCAAAGGTCAACATACAAATCATCCTGGGGTCAAAGAGACCTGAAAGTTAGTGAAAGAGGTGCATAGGTAAAGGTTAGACTCCTCACGCAGATACTTTGCCTGCATTACAGTATCCTGAAGCATCTCTGCAGTCATGGGCTCAGAACATAGCCAAGATTATTTTGATCAATTACAAATTATTGCTTGTTTTGATACTTGTCCCTAATCACTCTTTTCAGCTTAGATTCTAAACCTATTCAAAGACTCTTCTCAAATTTATGAACAAAACCTTCCAACCTCTATTATCTCAAGTGATGTGCATCTTAGTAATGGGTGGTATAGGCTGGGCTGATATTAGACCTTTTTGAAAAAAACACTTGGAGCTTTGCTGCTGGTAAAACTATTATATTTAAGAAAAAAGGGTAGAATTTTTATTTTAAATATTTTAGATTAACTGTGATCCTAGAGAAAGAACTAAGAATCTCAAATGGTAAAAAAAAAAAAAAATTCACTGTATGCATTTATTGAAGCCAGACCTCCACCAGAAATTTCCCTAAAAATAACAAGCTCCTTATTTTAATGTGAACTCATTCTACCATTATTTAATCACCTGATGAATTATAAAAATAGGAAATATTTAAATGGTTAGGTATGTACAGTAAAAGAATAAAAAAGAGAGGATTTGGAAAATCCACAGATTAAATACATGGTCCCTGAATAATTGAGAATTTACTCTAGTCAAAATAATTAAGAGAAAACATAGAGAGAATGACAGCAATTACAACAAGGGGATTTTAGTATGAAATGAAATTGGAAATTACCAGGGAATGTTCAGTTTGTAATAAATAGAATTCATTATTAGCTAACTTTGCTTTAACCCCAACCAGGGGAATTTTATAGAGCCCAGATATTATTATAAAATAGATTCACAATAAATTAATTCCGTGGTATTGGGTCCAAGAAAAAATAGGCCTCAGAATGGTGTTCTGTGTAGATGGAAGATAGAACTGTTGAGTTACTCTAAGCAATAAGACAAGATTCTTAAAGTAAAACTAGACCAATAAAAGATATGGTCATTGCACCACTCCTATAATAATGATGTTATTTAAGACATTAAAATTATATATTATTCAGTGCTAAAATATGTGATATGGTTGTTAGGGAGATATAGTTTCATTTTTTGATTCATATCTGATTTATTTTATACCAGATGATAATGTATTCATAGGGACATATAGTGAAAATAGCATATGCTGAAAACTTTATGCCAAATGACACTCTAATACACCAGCTACTACTTCTCAGCGTGTAGAATGCTTTTATGAAATAATGGCATATTAATCATACTGTGCAAAGTCCCATTAAAATCAATGATGTATTGACTTTGTTTATTTCACATGAGTTACACGTAATAAAATAATGTTCTGTAAAGAGTGGCTTTCATCCCGAGGAAAACTTCATATCATTAATTTTCATGTAAAAGAAACTCCTTCTTTTGTCAGACATGCCACAGCATACATNTGTAGAATGCTTTTATGAAATAATGGCATATTAATCATACTGTGCAAAGTCCCATTAAAATCAATGATGTATTGACTTTGTTTATTTCACATGAGTTACACGTAATAAAATAATGTTCTGTAAAGAGTGGCTTTCATCCCGAGGAAAACTTCATATCATTAATTTTCATGTAAAAGAAACTCCTTCTTTTGTCAGACATGCCACAGCATACATAGAGATAAATAGTCATGATACTTACATAAAGATTCTTTATTAATTTTTAATTCATTATTGAGTGCCTAACATGCACTAGATGCACTTTAAGTACATTATTTTATTTACTCCTTGAAATAGCTCTGTTAAGTGCTTCTATTATCAGTCCCATCTTACAGATGAGAAAACAAAGGCCTGGAGTTGGATGAA